ACAGGAGGAGGAGATGGAGTCGACGATGTCTTCTCTCTCACCGCTGTTGCTGCTGCTGTTCAACTTTCTCTTCTTGGTGGTGGAAGAGGAGGAGGAAGAGGAGGAGGAAGAGCTGCTGCTACCATCCGTGGCAGGTCTGACCTCCTGAGCTGCCGCTGCTGCTGCTGGGGGGTTGGGGGAAGAGAAACCTGTGGGAAACATGAACACCACAGAGGTGAGCAGGCTGAAGGGCATCAAATCCTCCTGGTGTGACAGGCACGCAGAGGGGGGCGGGAGCTTGAGATGGTGTCACCGAAGGTCGCCTGGAGTGGGGTGGGGTGGGGGAGACGAAGCCCAAAGGGACGACGACGACGGGCGAGGCCTCCTCTTTCTTCTTCCTCGACCCCCCCTTTTATTTTTCCTCCTCTCTTCTGGGAGGAAAGAAGCCCCCGCTTCTCTCTTTCCCCTTCGCCTTTCGGGAGGGGTGCGGGGAGGAAGATTCCCCTCTGGCTCTGGCTTCTGTCGACGGGCCTGGTCCCTTCCTTTTCCCTACCCCGCTAACTCTGCCCCTTTTTCCTCAGACGGGCAGAGGAGGCGGAGAGAGGGGGGTCCTGTCTCTCTCTCGCTCTCCCGCCCTGAGGCCGCCCCTCTTGGCTCTCGCTTTCGGGGGGGGGGGGGGTTCGGGGCTTCGCTTCCCCCTTCCCCGCCTCTTTCGCGGCCCGCAAGAGGGGGAAGGAGGGCGGCCGGCGGGCGAGTAGCTCCGCTTGTTATTGTCAATGCTAGGAAGAAGGGAAAAGGGGAGGGAAGGAAGGAAGGAAGGAAGAGAAGAAAAAAAAAAGAAGCAAAGCAAGGGGCCTAAAGATGGCGGCACTTCCGGCCGCGCGGCATGCCGGGAGGCGAGCCGTCCGGAAGTAGCGCCGCCGCCGCCGCCGCCACTGGCGGCAGGCAGGGGTTGAAAGACGCCGCCGCCGCGCCCGGGAGGGGTGGAAGCCGGCGGGGAGACGCGCGGAACCGGTTTTCCGCCCCCTTTTCCCGCCGTCCCCGCGACACCCCCTCAGGTCCGCCCGGGGTTTCCTTTCCCTCCCCCCCCCTCCGCCTCACCCCGCTCCCTGGCACCCACTTCCCCTCTGCCCTCTGCCCTACCGGAAGTGATTGTATCGCCGGGCGGCTGCTGAAGCGGCGGGTTCCTCGAGCGGCCGGCCATGGCGCGCCGAGCCGCGCTCGCGGGGCCGACGGGGTCGCCTCTTTTCGACGGCCGCTCTCGGACGCCGAAAGGAGGCGGGGGCATCCGCGTTCTCTCCTCGCCTGGCAGAGACCCCCCCGAGGCCTCGCCGGCACCCGTAGCGGCGCTTCCTCGCCTTCCTTTCCCTCGGCGTAATCCAGATGCCGGGAGGGAGGGGGGCGAAATCTAACCCCTTCGGGATTGAGCCTCGTTGGTTTCCGTAGCTGGGGGTGCCTCCCACGTGACGAAGAGCGGAAGCGGAGTGGGAGAGCAACTACCCCTTCCTTCCCTTCCTGCCCGGCGAAGATGGAGAGAGGCGGGTCCGCCGTCCTTTTCTTTCCCAGCCGGGAAGGGACTGAGGAAACGGGGAGGGGAAGGCTTTGGTCCCCGCCTCCAGGCTCTCGTGGGTTTGGCCCGTTGGGGTCGCGCTCGCCTTTCTCTTCCAGGGAACGCCGGACTGCCTTGGCCCTGGCTCTGCCTTTCGGAAGCGAGGAGGAAGGGGTGGGTGCGTGGTAATCAGTCAGCCTCGCAAGGGCGTCCCTGGGCGGGCGGTGAAATCGGTGGCCGGGCCTTGAGCTGCAACTAGATGCTTCCCCATTTCTACCTGTTGGAAACTTAAACTCCATTTGGAAGAACAGGAATAATAATAACATAATAGTTAATATTTGTGATACATTTTTAAATGTTCAGTTGACTGAGTTTCATGTTTAATGAATAAAAGATAATAACAATTTTTTTAAAATCACAAATCACTAGTCGAACACTTCCCACTGCGTGATGTATCGGCGGATTATGCAAACATCCTAGTAAGGTGGCCTGCAGCGACCAATGGTGATCTTGTCAGCGCCAATTGTTGTCAAGTACTTGCCTAAGTCTAGGCACAGCACCGAGTGTGCCCAGTACCATTGGAACCACCTGCACTGGTTTATGCCAGAGTCTCTGCAGTTCGATTTTCAAAATCCAGCATAGTTATCTTGTTTGCTGTGTACACTGTTGTTTTTTGTGTAAACGATAGTATTTTTGGAACAATACCCTGTATATCATGATTGTGGAGAAGAAAAAAGTGTGGATCGTCAACATTTCCATACCTGGTGACAGCAGAAACGATGAGAAACAACTTGAGAAAATCACCAGATATCAAGACTTGAAAATTGAACTGCAGAGACTCTGGCATAAAGCAGTGCAGGTAGTTCCAGTGGTACTCGGCACACTGGGTGCTGTGCCTAAAGACCTAGGCAAGCACTTGTAAACAATTGGGGCTGACAAAATCACCATTTGTCAGTTGCAGAAGGCCACCTTACTGGGATCTGCTCGCATAACCTGCTGATACATCACGTAGTCCTCAATGCTTGGGAAGTGTTCGACTAGTGATTTGTGATACGAAACGCAGCATAGTTACCTCGTTTGCTGTGTACACTCTTGTTTTTTGTGTCAATAATAATATAATGGATCATGGATGAAGCATGTAACAGTTATACCCATCATCATCAGGGCACTTGGTACCATGTCCAAGAATTTTGCAAAATACATCAAAAAATTGCTGTTGCTTGCTATAACACCAGGGGAACTGCAAAAAGCTTTGCTACTCAGAACATTGTACATTTTAATAAGATACTTAGTTGATACCTAGGTTGCTGACAGCAACCCATATCAACCATCAGCGCTAGTCAATTATATTTGCGATACATTTTTAAATGTTCAGTTCTGAGTTTCATGTTTAATGAATAAAAGAGATAATAATAATAATAAAGGTGGGTTTCTTGATGCCAGGAATTAACTGGGATGGAGGAGAATAATTCTGATTTGTTTAAAATTCACATCTAAAATGCACCTGTGGATACTTCCTGATTTTTTTTTTTTTAGGGCAGTTTAATATGAATGACCTAATTTTTTAGGGTACTTGAAGGGTAGCCTTTTTGACTACTACTTGATCTGGTTTTAGGTAAAAAAAAATCTGGTTTCAGTTTTCACTTACAAGCATCAGTTTCAAGATCTTGTAGGATACTTTTTGTCCTTTAATCTTTTTAATAAGGTGAATATTTAACCTGGCTTTTTCTTGGTGTTCTGTATGTTCACTAGAACAGAAATGGGGATATAAGTTTAAAAAATGCTCGCTTTTTTCAACTTATTCTGTATACTGAAGTTTTGTTAATCATTTATATTATTCTGATTTTTTGTGAGAAAGTGGCTTGGAAGAGTTTATATGTAATGTCAATAAAAACTACATTTTCTCTTGGAGCCTGTCATGTCTACTAATTATATTAACCCCTGGTCCAATAGCTTGGAATGAATTTCTTTGTCATGTAATCTCAGTGTATTTAATGTTTGTTATATATTAAAAGATTGTTTTGATTTCAGTCCTTATTTATTTCTAATTTTATTTTCTTAAATATACTACCGGTAGTTAGTATATTTTCATCCGTGTTGGTTTTGAACTTTTTGGGAATCGTGTATCCAAAGCTTTACTTTAAAAATAAAAACTGCAGATTCAACTTCAAATGTTTTTTATTCATAAATACTGACTTAAGTATCATTAGCAATACCTTTTTCTTAAGATGGAAATAAAAACAATGATCTCATGTAACAGTGATAATCTTCACTTCAGACTAGGTTTTTGCTACCACTTAACACATTTCCCCAGTTTAAAAAGGAATTATATTACATTTCGAATTGGCATTCTTCAGTCTCAAGAGACTATGTGCTCAGAAAAGAGATCCTAAAACAGCATCTATTGTGGCAAATAGCAACTAGAATTTCACCAGGCTTGAGGTTGCCTCTTAACCTTCCATCTTTCCGAGGTTGGTAAAATGAGGACCCAGATTGTTGGGGGCAAGTGGCTGACTCTAAACCGCTTAGAGAGGGTTGTAAAAGCACCATGAAGTGGTATATAGGAACTATTGCTACTCAGTGCCATCCATATCAACTAAATCGCAGTGCATTAAGCCACGGTTTAATCAAAGTTCCCCAAATAAACACACTGGGGGGTGGGAATTCTGAGACTTGAAGTCCACAAATCTTGCAGCTGCTAAGATCACTGAAAGAATACATAAATAAATTTCAAGGAGATGCCAAGGTCGAGGAACACCAGTGATAAAAGCTGCAGTTGGGCTTAGATTCCATTGGATGCACTTTACATTTTACGCCCCTTTTAAAAGGAATAATGGGACCTGATCATGAAGGCATGTCGGAGATATTTAAAGTCTCTCTCTCTCTCTCTCTCTCTCTCTCTCCCTCCTTCCTTCCCTACATTACCTACCTACCTACATATCTAACTATAAGTATCTATCTCTATCTCTATACCTATCTACCTATCCATCTACCCACCCGCCCATCCATCCATCTATATAAATATTAAATATAAATATAAACATATGTTTATACCTGTATTTATAAATCTCTATGTCTGTCTGTCTGTCTATTTCTCCCGCAGCGGCCCCTTTAAAAAGTAGAACCAAGGCCTCCTTAGGCCCGACTCGGATGCGTCTCCATAGTAACGGCCGCTCGGGCTCAACGCGCCTGCTCCGTCCCCCGTCTCGCGCGCTCAGCCTGCCGGGAGCGGTAGTTTCGAGTCCCTCCACCACCACCCGCGGGAGCCTCTCGTGCGTCTTTCGGGAGAACTGGGGCGCTGCCCTTTTCCCTTTCGCTCGGCGCCAGCGGTTTTTGCGACCGGGCTGCCGTAAAGCGCGTCCCGCCGTCCTCCCTTCCCCCCCCGCGTTTCCCCAATCCGCGCCGTTTCCTTTCCGGCGAGGCGGGCAGACGAGAAGGAAGGGCCGGAGGGGCCTTGCGGGGAAGCGCGCCGGGCGGGGCCGCCGCGGGCCCCCCCCCCGCCCCCACCCGCCCCAGCCCCCCTCTCGCTCCGCCCGGCTTCGCGGGGAGCGGCGCCCCGTCGCCCCAGGATGTTCAAGAAGTGAGTGGGCGCGGGGGGGGGGGGGGGGGGGGG